TAAGACCCATTCTACCTGCCTGGCAGAGGCAAGAATGAACCCTCTGAGCTGCCTTGATAGTCTGGTCATTTATTCACAAAAGAATTACAGGCATACAAAAAGACTGGACCTATAAACCAACAAACAAAAATAAAAACTGGTAATAAGCATAGCCAAAAGTGATCCAGAAACTAGACCCTTTTAAAATTATTAGCTGATTTCTGCTTCTGGAAGATGAGTAGACATACTTTGTTCCTCATGCTAAGTACAGCTTAAAATCCTGAAATCATATACAAAACATGCATAAAACTTTGGAGGTGAGAGAAGGCGATCATGGGAACCATGGGCTCAAGGAAAAAACACGTGGTAAAATCCTTGGTATTCTGGCCTCATATATCCAAGACATGGAAGCTGCGGTTGTATTCTCAATGGTACAGCATGTGCTTAGCATGTGTAGCCCTGGCTAAATCTCCAGTACCAAAAATAAAATAAGACAGCAAAAAGGCACAGACCAAAAAAAAAATGCCCCAACAAAGCCTATTCTTGCTACCAAAGGACCAAGAATGGACAGAATGCTTGAACAAAATCCCACTCTACCCAGCCAAACACCACTGAGGATAACTGTGATCCACTTTCATCCATCCAGAAAAGGCACTGTGGGGATCCCAGGCTGCCACCCTTACAAGATGTAATGGCACCCAAACACAGTACCATGATGGTGTCAAAAGTCAAGTAGAACTGGACTCATATCATCACCCAGTAATGAGGCCCTGTCACTGTGAGTCAGTGTAGGAGGAGACCAGAACTTCCATCCCCTCCAAATCAGTGAGAGTCCCCATCTCAGGTGTCAACAAGGGGACTTCTACCTCCACCTGGCAGGAAAAGGCAATGCTGATGCCTGCACTTCCCTGGCAGGAGTTGTGCCAGAGAAAACCCAATAAAGTCAAAGGTTTTAATAAGACCCACATCTCATACCACAGCACAGAACCATCCATATTTCAACCAAGATCACTTCCTACCCCTCCAACCAGGAAGTCTCAAACTCAATGACAAAGACAAACTGAGACACCAGCACTGAGATGCCAGACATGTCAAATTTACTGGCAAATATTTAAAAATCATGAAGAAAATTTGAGTATTATGAACTTCCTGAAACACATGAAAAAATAATGTGCTTCCTCAAAGAAATTAAAGAAAAAAAAACCTCAGCAAATACAAGAAGAAAAAGAAGAGCCAAGTACAAAATACACTGTATACATATTTTAAATTTTCACACAAAAACCCTTTGTACTACTAATGAGTCTTTAAATAAAATAATTTTTTAAAAATAACAGGCAAATACAAATTTTCAAACTAAAAATGCAGTAACAGGCATTAAAGCTCAGTGGATGGACTCAACCACGAATGGCAGAGATAAAGAACAAGTAGCAAGTAACAATGATGTGTGAAAAAAACCACTTCTGGACACTTAAAGCACTTCACCCTGTCATCCTTCCTCAAAAGACGGCCCAGAACATCACTAAGCATGGCCCATATGGAAAGGCTCTCTTCCAAATAAGTCCCAGCCAGCACCATATCAGCACAGACATCTACCATTCTTATGTGAAGCCACCCACTTAGAAACCCCACTATTGATGCCAGATCATCCAGCTGCAACCAAAACAACCCATGAAGCAGATCACAAGGGTCCAGGTAAGACCCTTCCTTGGCTAAGGCAAATATGTCAGAGCAATGAGCACTGCCAAGGTCACATGACCAGACAAAGGCAGAATAGATGCTGGACACAGTGTGTCCAGCTCCCCCCACAAACCCCTTGGCTCCAAATCCTTAGGGGCTTACTGTGTCATAAATCACACCTTTAGAGAGGGGCAATCAGGGTCTAAGAACTCTCCTGGTCCTCCCTATAAACCCTAGAGAAGGTGATTGTCTGGAAATGAACAATTATGCCAGTTTTCAGCCTTTTCTAGGGAATTTCACTTGAATTACTTTCTGGGAGTAATATAGAAGAAAATTACAAACAACAATAATAATAAAATGGTAAAAGTTATAATAAATTCCCAAAAGAAAGTAGATCATTTTTAATCATTCTATCTCTGAAAATGGCACCAACAAAGGTGACCCCAGTGTCACTAAATCCAACAGATATCTTCACCCTTCACCTTGCCTGGCCTCTGGCAGGACCAGATGCTGTTGCTGCCCCACCAGCTGAAAGGTTCCACATTCCAGAGCACTGTCCATCCTGGGTCTCCTCTTCCTGCAGCTTTGCCAGCTGGGCCTCCCCCACTAAGCCTCACCCCTCGCACCAACTGCCCCCACTAGGTCCCACCCCTCCCACTAAATTGCCCCCCAACCCCCCCCCCACCAGGCCTCACCCTTCTCACTAGGTTCCACCTCTCCCACCAACTTCCTCCCACTAAGCCCTACCCTTCCCACACCAACTTCCTCTCACTAGATCTCGCCCCTCAAAGGTTCTATTACCTACCAATTACCTACTATCTTTAGACAAGATCAGGTTCAGGGTGGTATGCAGCAAGGATGTAACTTTTCTGGCTCAACAGTTTCCTACTGAAAGTTGGATGAAGACATGAAAATTTTTCTGGACAATATTTTCTAGTCTGTGCAGTGTTTTGGAAATGGGGAGGTGAAAGAGGGAGGGACCAGACCCTGCTGACTGCCAGGCCATCCCTGACCTGCCCAGCAGAGATGTGTCCATGTCCCAGAGGGTGAGCCAGTAAGGACAAGATCACCTCTCTGGTGCAGGTGCCCACACCTCCATGCCTGGCTGGTGTTTGCACTCAGACCCAGGCCTCTGCCTCGGTCCTGCCCTCCAAAGTCCCTATCCCATTGAACCATGATCTGCATGGGCATGGCCTGTTGCCCTGTTTGGCCCAAGAGACTCTCAGTTTATGTGCCACTTCCACTTTGAGATTGGGAATCAATATTCCATCCAAGAGGGTTTTATTTCTTCTGGTGTATCAGTTAGTGTTCCATTGCTGTGACAAAACACCCAAGGTAAACAACTTTAAAAGAAGAAAGTTTACTTTTGCCTCATGGTTTCAAAGATTTCAGTCCATGGTTTCTTGTCTCTGCTGCCTTCAGCAAAGCAAAGCATCATGGGAGAAGGACATGGTGGAGGAAACTGCTCACCTCATGGTGGCCAGGAAGCAGAGAGAGAGAGAGAAGAGAGGAAGGAAGGGGAGGGGTTCCCAATATACCTTTCAATGCACATCCCAGTGACCTACTCCTTCAACGAGGCCCCATCTCCTACAGGTTCCACTACTTCCCAGTAGAGACAGAGGTGGGGACCAAGCCTTCAACCCATGGGCCTCAAGGATATGTCGAAGCTGTAAACATTAACACCTGGAGACACATGAGCTGCTCTGGGCTCCCCCGCCCAAAGCCAACTTGGCTCCACCCTTGGCCATTTCTTCCCCACGCCATGCTGAGACTCCTGGGCTAGCTCATCCACTGTGTTAGCCGTCACTAAGGCTTTGCTAAGGGCTGGAGCACAGACATTTTATATTTTCCAGGAAGCTGTGAGTCAGTCTCACTGGGGAACTTACTGTTCCTTCCCAAGTTGATCTTCTGAAACTCCTCTCAAACCTACCCAGAAGAAAAAAGAGAAAAGGGGGTAGGAGAAATGTTTAAAGAGATATTAGACTGTTCTAGAATGCTTGGATTCCCACACACCAGACTCAAGAGGCCAGTGAATTCCAAGTGAGAGAAGTGAAATGGAACCGAGGCAGGAAATTCAGGAAAAGCACCCAAACCAGGTCACAGGAAACAGGTGACCTCCTCACAGATTGTCTCACAGGGAACAGGTGATCTGGCTCCACCCAGAATCACCCCAAATTGTCCCTTTTGAAATAGCATTTCCATCTGGACCCAAATTGGGGCCTGTGCATGAGGGCCTCTAATTATAGCTCATTGAATTCATATGTGCTGTCAATCTGTCAATCACCAAAAGCCACTCCTAATACCACCCAGATCCCCACCCCCCCCTCCCCGTTCCCCACTGTGGTGCATAAACACCCATCCAAACCAAACCAAGGCCCTGGAACTCGACTACAGGTGCTGCTCACCTTGTTCAGAGCCTGTCCCCCCTTCTTCCTTGGGGAGTGTACTTTCCTGCTTTCACTCTCTCTCAATAAAATTTAGCTATGACTTTGCGATCTGTGTGTCTCCATCCAATTCTTCATTCAGGACACCAAGGACCTGAGATTTTCTCAACCAGGGTCTTCTGAGACTACCACTGGTAACAGAACCAGTCCAGTGGCCGTGTTAGAGAAGGTGGGACTCAGCCCATCATCCCCACAGCTGTAGGTCTAAGATGCCGTGGAGAGTGTGGAGCTGATGCTGGAGTGTAGTCTGCAGGTAGAGGGTTACTGGGTGTGGCACAGGTCAGGACCTTCTGGCATTTAAAGGTGACAGAGAGGTGGCCCAGCTGGCCAAGCTTCAGGAAGAGGAGACCCAGGAGTGGTGGTGCCCTGGAATTAGAGCCATTCTCTTTCTGGGGCAGCAACAGCCATCAGCCCTGCCTGAGTCCCTGCAAGATGAAGGCTAAAGGTATGTGTTCAATTTAGTAACAGTGAAGTCACCTTTGCCAGATGAAGAAAGTGAGGCTCAGAGAAGCTACCCAGCAATGCAAGCCTGAGACACCTTGGTGACACGGTGGTCTGGACACCTCATCCTGTGCCACACTAGCACTTCTGAAGTGCCATGTGCCATGATGAGTAGCTGACCTGGGCCTGGGCTATGGGCTGACATATGACAGGT